CCAGGATCATGACCCGAGCCTAAGGCAGTCACCCAACCAACTGAGCCACCCAGGCGCCCTGCAAGGATTTTTATAATGAACTAATATAAATGGGGGTGGGGTAGAAACAATCAATGTGGGGACTAAGAGGTATACACCTCTCTGTATTGCTCGGTATATATTTTGTTCTTTAAACTATAAATATAATAGCTACTTAAGATAGATTCTTAAAAAAATAAAATAGGGGGGATGCCTGGGTGGCTCAGGTCATGATCCCAGGGTCCTGGGACCGAGTCCCGCATCAGGCTCCTTGCTCAGTGGGGAGCCTGCTTCTCCCTCTCCTTCTTCTTCTGCCCTTCCCCCCACTTGTGCTCGCTCTCTCTCTCTCAAATAAATAAAATCTTTTTAAAAAATAAATTAGGGGGGTGCCTGGGTGGCTCAGTTGTTAAGCGTCTGCCTTCGGCTCAGGTCATGATCCTGGGGTCCTGGGATCGAACCCCACGTCTGGCTCCCTGCTCAGCAGGGAGCCTGTTTTTCCTTCTGCCTCTACCCCTCCCCTGGGTCATGCTCTCTTGCTCTCTCTCTCTCTAATAAATAAATAAAATCTTTTTTAAAAAATAAAATAAAATAGGGGCGCCTGGGTGGTTCAGTCTGTTAAGCACCCCACTCTTGATTTCCGCTCAGGGCATGATGTTGGGGTCATGGGATTGAGCCCCGGGTCAGGCTCCGTGCTCAGCAGAGTCTTGCTTGTCCCTCTCCCCCTGCTCCTCCCCCTGCTCATGCTGTCTCTCTCTCAAATGAATGAATAAATAAAATTTTAAAAAATAAACAAAATAAAATCGTTTCTTTTTTTTGGTTAAAATTTTTTTTTTTTAGAATTTCTACACCTAATGCGGGGCTCAAACCCATGACTCTGAGATCAGGAGTCACACGCTCTACCGACTGAGCCAGCCAGGTGCCCCCAAAATAGTGTCTTTTTTAACAATGTAAAAAGTAAAAGGTGATTGTCACTTTGTCATACTACCCTACTGCAATTCCCTCCATGGCTCCCCATTGTTCCCCCCAAACAGTTCATACTCCTTCCCTTGGCCCCCAAGACCCTACTTGATCTGAGCCTTCTCCGTGTTGGCTAATTAGCTCTCCTCATAAATAAGTCCCCATAGACAGCAAATGACCCCCACATCTGTGCCCCAGCCTTTCCCCCCACCACCAGGAATGCCCTCCCTCTGGGACTCACAGATGTTCCTCCAGCTTCCTCTTCAGCAGGGCGGACTGGGGGAGAGAACAGGCACTGGGTGAATGCGGGTCCAGAGGTCCCAACTCCTTCCCGGGGTGAGGGTAGGGGGTGCCACCCTGGGCACACGGTACTTACAATGGACTGCAGGGGACATCGAGCAGCAGGGAGGAGAGAGAGAAGGGTTACGGGGAGGGCACGAGGGAGGGCCAGGCAGGGAGGAGGAGGGCACTCACATCCTCAGTCTTGCCCCCCTGCTCTTGCAAGGCCTTCTGCAGGTCCTCCACCTGGGCCCGCAGCTCCAACAGCTGCTGCTGGTTCAGCCTGCAGGAGTGCGGGGTTGCTGAGTGCCTGCGCCCGCCCTCTGCCCCGCCTCACACGCCCCCTCCATGCGCGCGCGCGGGGCGGGGGGGGGGCCCTCCGCCCGGTGGGTCCTCACCGCAGCTGCGTCTCCAGCCCGTGGCGCGCGCGGTTGGCGTCCTCTAGGTGGCGCTGCAGCTCCTCCTGCCGCTCCCGGTAGGCCGCCTCCTGCTGGCACAGCTGCTTGTTCTCTAGCTGAAGCCGCAGGAGCGTCTCCCTGCCGACCGCCAGGGAGTGAGCAGGGCTGGAGACGGGTCACCCCGCAGGCCTGCCGGGGCTCTGGCAGGGAGACTGGGCGGACAGGGCTGGCAGAGGGACAGAGCCCTGGGGAAGAGCCCGACCAGACCCCGGGGCCGGATTAGAGTAATGGGGATCCAGCGCTGGGGGACCAAAAATGGGCGGGGTTTTGAGCTGGGCCTAAGGGTGGAGGCAGGCAAGGGCGGGGCTACGGGAGCGGGTTAGAACATTCACGATCCCCGCTAGGGCTGCGAGAAAGCAAGACTGCGGGAAAGACAGACGCAGAAATAGGAAGAACTGGGGTGGGGGAGTTCATCTGGGCAAGACACGGGTCACTGAACCTAGCAAGGGCTACACTGAGGACAGGGCTACGCCCTGGGGGCAGAGTCCTAGGTGAGCGGGACTGGGGGTAGGAATCTTGCTCCGTGAGTGGAGCCAGATGGGTTGGGCCTAATTTGTGCACTGAGGATGGATCCTGGAGAGGCAAGCAACCAACAAGGGCTAGAGCGCCGACCAGGTAAGGGCCGAATTAGGAGTGAGTGGGCCCAAGAGCCAGGCTAGGACTTGGCATCCCAACATAGCAGGTCAGGCTAGCAGTAGGTGCCTGCACTGGGAGCAGGGCAGAGGGTGGGCTCTGGGTGCAGCCAGAGCTCTGAGCGACCCCAGGGTACCTCAGCTCTGCAGGTAGGATCTCTGCTGCTAAGTTTTCCACAGCTGGTGAGGTGGGATCCAGCGAGGGGTCTGGAGAATGTGAGAAATGTCTTCAGGTTAGTGCACAGCTGCTGCCCCCAGCCCTAGGGTTCTCTTTCCAAGAATCATCTTTGGGGACTCAAGTTTGGCCCAAAGCCTGGCTTAATACAAGCCTCACTCCCAGCTTGACAGGGAGCAGTGATGCACGGCCTGAGTTTGCCTTCGCCCCACCCTGATCCTGGGAGGTCAGCCCCTGCCTTCTGTCAGCCCTTGTCACCTCTTCCCGCTCTAGCCTGTCTTCAAAGTGGCCTAGCTCTGCCCCCAGCCTCTACAAGCCCTGGGACACTGCTTTTCTGTCTGCCCTAACAGAACCTTAGGCCACCCCTGTCCCCGACCCTAGGGCTGTTAGGCCTCCGACTCACCAGCCTGGGTCAGCCCCCGAGGCTGCAGCTGGGCGCAGCGCAGTTCCTCATTGGCCTCCCGCAAGGAGTCCCTCTCTGCCAGCAGCCGCTGGAGGGACAGGATGCAAGATGCCATTTGAGGGAGGGTTGGCCTCCTGGGGACTGGGCTATGCCAGGATGGACAGGGTGGGGCTTGGATGCCAGACTTCAGCCTCACCTCCTTCTCCTTTGTCACCAACTCATACTTCTCCTCCAGATTTCGACACTCGAATAGCCATTTCTCGGCCTTCATGGCCTCTTCCTGCCTCTGGCCCTGCAGTTCCTGAACCTGAACAGAGAGGAGGGGTGAGGAGGCAGGGTTGAATGTGAAGGCATGGGGCCAGAGAGGCCAGGCGCGGAAACTCGGAGGGGCGGGGCTTACAAGCCTAGGGAGGAGCTATGCAAATGAGGGAGAGAGGGCTCCGGGTGCAGGGGCTCAGCGCCATGCTGAGGATGGGCCAAAGTGAGAGGGGCGAGGGGCCCGGCGGCCCAGAGCACGCTGCCCTCCAGGCTCTGCCCTGATCCCTGCCGCACCTGTCGTCGCTGTGCCTCGAGCTGAGCACGGAGCGAGCCGGCCCGGCGGAGCTCATCCTCCAGCTGCCGGGTGCGCTCGGCATGGCCGGCGTTGCGCTCCTCCAGCTGCCGCACCTGCCGCCTCAGCTCCCGCAGCTCCCCCAGCCGGCGCCGACAGCTGCTCAGCGTGGCCTCCAGCTGCCCAGCACGCTCAGAGGACTGCCTGGGGGAGGAGGCAAGTCGGGAGAGGAGGCCTGGGTCTGGGGTCAGGGTTCAGCTTGGATCTGAGGCCCTCCGGGCAGGGGAAGAGGTCATATCACCTGGGGATGTGTGGGTTCAAGGTGATAGATCGTGAGGGTCAGGAGTCAGCCAGGGCCCGGTGTTGTTGGGAAATCATTAAGGGGCATAGAGGGAGCCCTAAGCACCAATGGTTAGCCCAGGGTCATAATCAGGGATGGCGGGGGGGAGGGGGGGATTGTGGGGATATAGAATGACTGAGGGGTTCCAGGGGGAATGATGGTGCCCAGAGGCTCTGAAGAGCCTCAAGGACACTTTGAGGTTATAAAGTGGCTGCGGGATCAACAAGGGCATGGTGGGGTCATGGGGGAGCTTCAGGGCAGAGCACTATGTGGTCCTCTAAGGTGCAGTAGGGATTCACTAGACACTTTAACATTACAGGGGTGCTGCGGGGTCACAGGGGAGCCTTTTGAGGTTACAGAGGGCATGGTGAGGTCTAGGAAATGGGTGTTCTGGAGGCCCAACAAGTGCTCTGGGGCTGCAGGGGTGCTGTGGAGTCATAAAAAGGAATAGTCCTATCATGAGGGGGCACATGAGGGGTGATGGGGGCAGCGGGGGGATTACTGCATTTGGGTCCTGGAGGGCACAATAGGATCCTGGGGCATGAGGGCACCTGGGCAGCATGGGAGCAGGGGTGGGGAGCTGGTAGCTGGGGTCGTGGGGATCTTCCAAGGTCTGGGGGCTATAATGTGGGATCACAAGGGCACACTGTGGGGTCCTGGGGGGCATCAGGAATCCAGGAATCTTGGTGGCGTCCAGAAGACACTGTGCGGGTCCACTGGGCATTTGGGGGTTCTTGAGGGACGATGGCATCAGAGGGACACGGTGGCAACGAGAGTGTGCAGTGGCGACCCAGGGACCGACCACTCACCGCAGCTCATCCATCTCATCCTTCAGCGCCTGCGCCTCCTGGGCCAGACTGGTCAGCGCCTGGTTCCGCTGCTGCAGCTCAGAGACCTCCCGCTCCAGCTCGGCACAGTGCAGGCGCTCATCTTCCCTGCCGTTCTCCAGCCTGGCGGGGTGGGGTGGGGAAGAAAGGGTCGCTTGAGGGGACTGCAGCTGGGCCAATCCCCTGGCCTGCTGGCCCCATCCCCAGCTGACTGCACCTGAAGTTCTCCTCCTGCAGCTGCTCCAGCTGGGACTGCAGCAGCAACAGCTTCTTGGCAGTGAGGCCAGGGGCGCCCTCACCCTCCGGCCGGCCCACCCGCCCCCGCAGCGCCGCATTCTCCTGGGCCAGGCTCTGCTTCTCCTCGGACAGGAGCACCAGCTGCCAGCAGGGGGTGCAGATGAGCTGGAGTTTGGAGGGGAGAACAGAGGCGAGCAACCCTGCCCCCGGAGCACCTGTGCTCCCTCCCACCACCCTCAACCTCACCTGCCGCTCCAGGTCCAGACAGCGCTGCCGCAACTCATCCCCCTCGTCAGCCTCCTCGCTCAGGAAGTAGTACCTTCGGGACTGAGGAGGGTAGTGGAGGGTGGGGAGGGGCGAGGAAGTCAGGGATCCACGGGAAGAGAGTGGGGGGAGGCTGGCATCTCTAGTGGCAGAGAGGAGGAGCCCAGAAACCCTCAAGATCTAACAGAGGGCTGGGACCCCAAGGGACTGGAGGAAAGGTGATGTGGGAATGAGGGAAGAGGCTAGGACCCTGAGGGATGGAGGAAGTTTACACACTTAAGGACAAGTTCCTCCTCCTTAGGCAGCCCTGAGAATCAGCAATGGGCTTGGTCCTTTAACAAGGTCCCCCACCTCTTACCTGGTTATCAAAGTTCCCATATGTTTCTGGTGACAGGGAGTCAGGGGTGTCTTTGGTCATGAGCTGAAGCAGGGCGGGAGGACATCGAGATGAGCTGGGCCCTCTGAGGGTGGCCATTAAAGCTTCCATGACCCAGCCTAAGGGCCTCTCCATTCTCCTGTCCCCAAAGCCAGTTCTCCCCAAGAGCCCCAGTCTAAAGGCTGCCTTCCTGCCATGGGTCCAGCAGGGAGCCTGGGTCCTCTGAGGGTGCTAAATGGTGACTTAGTGCTGGCAGACACATGAGACGGGGAAATCTGGCCAGCTGGGTTCCAGGAAGAGCCCAGACCTTACCAGGGCAGAGCCTGTGCCCAGCTGCCTCTGCTCTGATGTCCCCTCCCCTGAAGCTCCTTGCCACATTGGGCACCCCCACCTACCTCCTGGATGGCTTCCATTACCACATGTTGAACTGATTCCTCCAGCGTCATGATTCTCTGGATGTGCTCTGGGGATCAAGGTGGAGAACACTGAAACATGGGGGTAGAGGGTGAGAAGGAGTTCCCTGGGTCGTCCCCTGGGGGCCCCCGAACCCCTATACCCTGCTTCTTCTCGCAACTGATGGCACAGCCAAGCACCAGCTGAAGCAGCTTGCCAAGCTCTTCTGGGTCTGAAAACTCGCCAATGAGGCTCACGTCCGGAAAGTGCTGCTCCAAAACAGGATGCCCCAGGACCTGAGGATAGGGGGGTGGGGGTGGGAATAGGGGATATGAGGGCTCACAGACACTCACCTCCTTCCAACCCAACCCCACCCCCTAAGCCCTCCCATGGTTACTCACATCCTGGGAATACTCCACCAAGCTCTGTAAGATGGTCTTCAGGTTGCTGACCTAGGGAGAGGTAAGGAGTTGTGTCCAGGGTCCCAGAGGCCCCCAGAAGGAGCCAGGCAGCCCCCACTGTGAAGCTGCCTACCCCAACCTTTTCTCTCTGCCGCATTTCCCAATCACTGGTCATCTCATCCTGTTTGGCACCGTTCTCTGTCTGAATGTCTTCTCTCCTAGGGACGACCTATCTAGTCACCTGCCCTTCTTGTCCACCTGTCCATCTTGTTCACATGTCCCCAGAATCCAATCACTTCTCATCACCTGCCCTGCCACCCTTTGGCTCTAGCCACCTTCATCTCTCACCTGGATTATTACACCAACTTGGTGTCAATTTCCACTCTTGCTGCCTACCCCCCATTCCTCTCCAAGCAGCCAGGGGGAGCTTTTTAAAGTCCAAGCCAGGTTGTGTCTTTCCTCTCTGCTAAAACCCTCCCTTGACTTTGCACAGCACTTAAAATAGAATCCATCTCCCTGCCCCAGCCTGCCCTCCTCCTGATGACCTCATCCACCATTCCTGGCCCCTTGTTTTCTGTTCTGACCTCCCTGCCTTTCCTCGATACATCAAGCTTATTCCCCACTTTACATTTGCTGTTCCCTGTGCCTGGAATCCCGTTTCTCCAAATTTCACATGGAGATCAACCCATCTGGAGTAACCACCCACCTAGTTGCCCTCTCTCATGGCTCAGCTTTTATTGTCTTTGTAGAACTTACTGCCATTGGAAGTTAATGTTTATATGTGTGTGCGCACGCAAGTTTTTGTCTTTGTTTTTCCTTGCTGCACACCCAGGCCTGCTCCATAGGAGAATGAAAGAACAGAGTTGGCTCGTCACCAGACATCTGTCCCTCTTCCTAGCCAAGTCTGTGCATCACCCAGGACATGTGGCTAGCTGACCCATCACCCAGGATATGTCTAGCTTAGCCTTCCCTGATTATCTCTTCGCCAGTCTGTCCCCCAGTCATGAGTCCACCTGTCACCTTCAGCCTCCAGTTGGGACCTGGGTCATCTGAGATGCCCTGGAGCCACGCCTCGTTGAACCAGGAAGGATCTCTGGGGGCGAGAAGGTGGGATGAGCTGCTGGAGGACCTTTTCGGGACCCTCCCCCTCAGCCCCACTCACATCTGGTTCAGCACATGGGCTATGGCGAGGCCACTACTCAGGTCCTGGGGCCTGGTACAGGGGGACGGGACGTGGAACGTCTGCAACTGGGGAGGGAGAGGAAAGGGCAAGGGGCAGTCAGGGCCTGGGAGAACAGAACCATTCCCCATTTGCAGATTTTCCCGGTCAGCAGGAACCTCATACGGTTGGCGGGGACTGGCCTATAGTTTTCTCATACCAGCTCCGCGGGGGTGTGGCCTCTGCACACCTGGGCCTGGAGGGGGCGTGGCCTCACTTCACTTCTGTTCCACAGACCCCGCGCGACGAGGCCAGGGCGGAACCACGAGTCACCTGGTCCCCACGGGCCCCACGTGACCAGGCCAGCTCACCTGTGCCCTCGCCCTACGTGACCCAGCCGCGGGGGGGCGGAGCCTCACCTGTTCTTTCCACGCAGACCTGCCACGTGACCGGGGCGGGTGCTCAGGCCAGAGTCCAACCGCCGGGCAAGCCCACCACCCTTTCCCCCTCCCAGCCCCAGAACAGAGGGGTAGACTGAGCCAAGGCCAGGGCTTCCGGGCAAGAAGAACGGGCGCACACCTGTCCCTGGCCCCGCCCCCGACCTACCCAGGTGAGCAGAGACCCGCAGAGCTCGGCCTTGTCCACGCTCATGGCTCCCGATCGGATTCGACCCCGGCCGCGGAGCCCCGCCACCGCAGCCACCTCCTGATCCGCCACCAGCGAGCGCCCGCAGCCCCGACCTCCCGCTCGGCCTAGAGCGCCGCCCCGCCCCGCCCCCTAGGCGCAGGCCCCGCCCCGGACACGTGATCTCCCGACGCCAGATCAGACTTCCAGTTCCCCCATCTTGGATCCGGGCAGCGTTCGGGCGCCCGCCCTGCCGCTAGGGGTCAGCCTGGACCAAGCTTGCACATCCCAAATGTGGACCCGCTACCCCTCCTCCTTGGTTCTTTTGGGGGTAGCGGAGACGTCACGATAACTCCTCATCATGTGAGGCGGAGCTATCCCACCCTGTTATACAGGCTTATTCACGTCCTTTCCCTTCAGCTGGGAGAAATTCTGCTGCCTAACCACCTTATCGGAGCCTTTATCTACGCGGGGAAAGGGCAGGCCATAACACGTTCTGTGGACTTCGAGGAGAGATCCTAAAGGGGTCTTCCTGGTGGAGGTGACTTGAGAGTCTTGACTCAGGGGTAAACAAGAGGACATGAGCGTGGTCCTAGGAGGAGGGGACAGGATGAATCAGCCAGACTCAGGTCTTGGGTGATGGACAGACACACTTGTCCAGTATGGATCGAGTTCCACTGAGCTGCTCCTGCACCATGCCCACTCCACCCCACCCAACCCCCAGCCCCGAGCCCCTGAGGTCCTCCAGCCTCAGATCCCAGGACCAGGCCGCCCAGGTCCCCAAGGCCCACCAGGGGGCGCGCAGACTGCAGGAGCGCGGCCTGCGGGGAAGCACTGTGCCCTTTCAGAGACCCCGCCCGGGCGGTGGAGGGGGCTCAAAGGAAAGTGGTAACAATAGTAGTTAATAAAATTGCAGTCACCATTTATTGAGTGTCTACAGTATGCAGTTCCTGCGCTAAGCGATTTAAATTATATAGGCGGTTGAAATCTTCCCATGAGTCTAGGTGGCAGGTGCTGTTTTAATTCCCGGTCGCAGGAGAGGAAACAGAGGCTCTAGTTGGCTTTAGGGGAAGGGGTAAAGCCCCGGCCCGCACCCTTTGGCGCCAGAATACCCCAGCAGCTCCTCTCCCACGGGGCGGGCAAGGTAATGAGCAGTAATTAGAGGTTATTAGCTGTACCTGGAGGGAGGGGCGGGCTCTGCTTTGGGGGTGGGTCTAGGTCTGAGGGGAGGGGCGCTGCTCTCTCCAACCCTGAGTCTGGCTCCGACGACCCTGCCTTGGAGCGGGTTGAGCAAGATGAGAGCAGCCCCCACTCCGCATCGCATGAGCACAGTCACTCTACCATCAGAAACCCAGTTACAGCCCACTCAGACGCGCAGCCGCATGCACGCGGGGGCCTCCAAGGCTCGTCTACACCCCCACACCCCCTTCCCGCGTTGTTTTCGGCCTCCAACCCCTGGGAGCAGGGTGAGAGGGAGGAGCAGGGAAGGGGACAAGGGCCGGCAGTGCCGGCTTCCTGACTGGGCTGCCTTCCGGCGGGCGTGGGAACAGCTGCCGCTGGCTCCCCCTTCCCGCACCCACCGGAGGACAGGGTGCTGCCAATAGGGGGAAATGGGGCCACCCTACGCCCAGGTTAAAGTGGAAGATGGGCCGGGAACCACGGTTGTTACAAGCAGGGGGGTGCCTGGAATATTTGTGGGAGGGCCTGTTAGCCCAATGTTGGGGGACATGTTGTGACCGCCACGTATTTGGGGTGGGATCCCCAATATTTGCAAAAACTGCAGGGATCTTGATGTGTAGGAAGAATCTGGGAATCCAAATATTTGGGGCATGGACTTAAATTGTTCTAATGTGATATTATGGGCTTTTTAGATTAGATGTTCAGTGACCTGAGTCCCCAGATTTAAGGAAAGGTCTGGGTGCCCTCAAATTGGGAGAGGAGCCATAACCCTCCATTTGGGGCGGCATGGATTCTCATGTTTGTGGGGAAAGGAAGCTTCCATGTTGGCAGGGAAGAGCAGCAATCTCTATTATGGGATGCAGGGAGCTCCACTGTTGGGGGCGATCTGGGTACCTTCAATTCAATGAAAGGGGGCACAAGCCCTCATTTGGGGTCAGGAACCCTATATTTCGGGGAAAGATGCAAACCTCCATTTTTGGTGGAGGGAGTCCCAAAGTTTGGGGGATGCCCCAGAGGCCTCCATTAGTAGGGATAAAGAGTGTGGGTGGGGGCCAGCAGCCCCTAGCTGGTTTGGAGACCCCACCCCCTCCTGCCTGTTTCCAGGAACAGCTGGGCCCAGCCTGGGTTGTACTGCTGGGAAGCTGGTGACTCAGCCCCTCCCTGCGGCCACAGCTGGACCCTGGCCCATCCCCTCCGGGCTTCACATCTGGGCAGAGACCCAGTCATGAGGGCTAGGATGGGGATCCTGGGTGCACACAATTGGAGGATGATGCCCTTTCCCCAGGGCTGACCACAGCTACAGGGTGGACACCACACTCCATACCAGGAGGGACTCTGGCAGGCCTTTTGCAGTAAAGACACTGACATCCCACCGAGAACTCCCATCCTGTCCTCCTCCGTGTGTGTGTGTGTGTGTGTGTCTTGAGTCCATGTAAAGTGTGCTCATTTTTGTAGGTGTGAGATGGTGGGTCTGTGATTGTGTGTGCACAGGCATTGTGTCTGCATCTACCTGTGTTTTGGGGCCCTGGGAATTTATGCAACAGACTGTGATTTGGTGGTGGGGGTGCTGATGGGGACTGGGGCACAATGCTTCTCTATATGCAACCTTGTGTGTCTACATCCCTGTGTCATCTTTTTGTATGAGAAGTGAGTGTGTGACAATCAGTACCTCTATGTGGCTTTAGGTTCTGTTTTTGTGCGACGTCTTTTCTCACCATGTGGCTTTCTGTAATAGCATGTGTGTCCCTGACATGTGTGTCCTTGATTTGTCCACATCCCCATGACAATCAGAGTGTCCCTGTGTGTGCCCTTGTGGGTTTGTCTGTGACTCTAACTTGTGCACCCTATTTGTGATGACCATGTGACTAAATGGTTGTCGTTTCTGTCCCCACCATGTGTCTCTGTGCCTTTACAATCTCTGTGTGAGAGGTATGGCTGTGTTGCAACTGGAGTCCTGGCATCCAAGACTTTGTATCTGTGTCTTATGTTGTCTTGATGGTGATGGTGTGGTCTTATCAGAGTACCTATATATACCACCGGTCTGTGAATGGAGATAGCCCTGCCTCCATACACAAGGAATAACAGGTGTGCCTGTGTAACCATCTGGGTCTCCACGTGTGTCTGTGTGTCCGTGTGACCCTGACCGTGTCCGCTGCGGGGCTGGCTGGACTAATGAAGGTTTGAGCCAGTGTATGGCAGGTGTATCCTGTGTCCGTGTGACACTGGGGGTCATTGGAGAGTTTGTGACCTTGTGGGGGGGGAGTCAAAGTCACACGGGACACCGCGCTCAGCGGAAGCGGAGATGTGCGCAGTGGGCACCAAACGCCCCACGTCCCACTGCTCTACGCCGGGAGGGGCCCCTCCCCGCGCTGCGGAGGCGCGTGCGTCGTGCGTGACGTGAGACACGACAGGGGTCGCTGCATGCGTGGAGCCCGACGCGGTCGTGCGTGCGAGCGTGGGGGGATGGGCTGGCTGCGTGCGCGTGTGCGTGGGCGGCCGCGGGGGTGGGGCGCGCGGGGCAGAGCCCCGCCCCCTCCTCAGGCTTTGGGCGCGGGTGAAACCCGGGAGGGGGGGGCCGCCGTTAACCCCTTCCTGCCCGACCTGAAACTTGTGGCCCCTCGACGGAGCGCGCGGGGGCTTCCCCGGCGCGCGGGGGCCGTCCCTGCTGAGAGGAACGCCCCCCCCCCGTGGAGCTGAGAGACCCCCCCCAGTTACCACGGGAACCGGAGCCTCCCGCGCGGCCTGACGCGTGCTTCCCCCCTCCCCCAGCCCCGCTCTTCCTTCGGCTCCGTGGTCCACCGGCAGTGCGCTTCCCGCTTCGGGTCTCTGGGGAAGGAGGTTGGGGGTCAGCGAGGCTGGAGCATGCGTGACTCAGGCCAGCGCGGGGGTCCCTTGGCCGCAGCCGACCTTGCTCCCCCTTCTCCACCCCCGTGACTCACCCTTCGCGGCTTTCCCCGAGTGTGAGTCAGGCCCCTGGGGAGGGGGCTGCGGACTCTGAGACCCCCTCCAGACAGTGGGGGCTGAGAACTAAGTTCTAGGGACCTCCCAGTCCAGGGGGAAAGGGCGCCCCTTCCGGGGGCTGACGGTGTCTTCCCTTAGCCGTCCCTCGCCAAAGTCGCTGGAGGTGTTTCCCCCCACCCCAGAATTGGCAGGGCCTTCCCCCACAGCCAAGGCCTCCGGGAACCCAGCTCCCACCCCTCCCCCCCAGCCCACAGGAAGTTTTGGCAGAGCCCATCGTGGCGATGAAACGGTTAAAGCCGTTTTCTTATTCATTTCAAACAGGGGCCCCTTTGGACTCAGAGCAAGCCGGGCGCCCCCTTGAGCCAGGCCTCATGGGGGCCTGGGTTTACACTCCACCCTACATGTATCATTTTTAGAGAAGGGAAGGAAGGCAGTTGGTGAGCTGGCTGGAGGTCTTGGGCAGCATTCAGAGCTGGGTTCAAATCCTGCCTCTGCCGTCATTGCAATCTCTGTCTCAGTTTCCCCGTATGAAAATGGTGGATAATTTTACCTGGCCCATTGTGTTGTTGTGGGAATTAGGTGAATAATAGAGGGGACGCTTTGCATCCTGAGAGCTGGGCACAGCAATAGGAGGAGGCCTGGCAGGCAGAAGGACCCAAGTTCCTTCTGTCTCCCAGGCTTGGGTGTCAAGGTGCCCAGTAGAAGCCAGGTCTTGCGGGGCGGGCCGTGCCCCACCCAGGCACTCTGAGGCCATGGGGTTCATCCCGTCCACCCCCTGCCCCAGGCAGGCACCCAGGAAGTGAGAGGCGGGGCAGGAATGAGGCGGAACCTGTTGGGCCCGTTGCCTCCCCACCTCCCACCCTCATTCCGGGGCCCTGACAGGCCACCCCCTCCCCACGCTGCAGCCCCACCCCCGCTGCCCTGGACGCCTGGGTCCTGACCCAGGGGTGGCCAAAGGGAGGGGATGTCGGCGGAGACAGCGTCTGGGGAACATC